AGAATCTTTGGCGCCACTTAATTTATCTCAATATATTTCCCTTTCCAGTCTTGTTATTAAATACGCTCAGTTAATAAAAAAAACATTACAAATCAGCAAATAAGTAATTCACTCGTTCCCTTATGTTTTTTATTGTTATATGATGAAAGGTAATACAGTACAATATATTATTGGGGTTCTATAGACAAATTTGTACATTTTGAAGAAGAATCTTATTCTTACGGAAGTAATCTGAAATTTATCTTCACTTTTAACATTTCAGTTATTAATTAATTAATCTAATGCTCCGGCCCCATATCATTGGATGAAGCGAGACTTTCCATGCCATTGGAAATGATTGAAAATGTCTGATTTTTAATCGCCTCCGTTCTTATTATGAATTCATAAATTGGTGGGAAACGTTTCTGATTTGTAATTACCACTTTCTTTCCACCCGTTAATCCTGGGTTAAAAGATAGCCACATAGCTCTTTAGAATAAAATAATTTCGTGTGCTTCGTTGTCTGACCAGAAATTAGAAAAAAATATATATGTATAGTCTTCATCTTTCTGATAGCAAGCTTTAGAAAAAATATGAAACACTGAATTTTTGCTCTAGGTATGAACAATATGTTGATTTTGTTGGTTCTGTCGCTATGGTCATAACCATTTTGTAGCCCATACATCATCTTAAATAACGCAGATTGTATTGGCAAGAAACAAATAAGATATAAGATATGATTTGTTTCTATTTTATTCACATTTCATCGAGCACATTTAAACACAGACGAAAACGTAAAACAACAAGATCCTGGTATTGTGGCTTTAGAAAATTGAGTTGTTTTATCCCAATTGTGCGTGTCAAACAGAAGCACACAGACCAACGTCGCTCTTAGCTGTCATCAGAATGTAAGGTTCAGTTCTTGACACCATAATTACATCTTATTGAGTAATGAATCATATACGTATTGTAAACATTTACAAAATAATAAGTCGCGATCAAATTGCTTGTCTGCCATTCTCCCTCCTGTTCGCTTTCTCTCTCGCTCGCCTTTTTTCTTCCCGAAAAAGACAGGCAGAGTTTGAAATTTCCGGGGCTTACTTTAAGCCTGTGATTGGCCCCCTAGAATCTTACCTACATGCAAATGAAGCAACGCCACAATACTGCCTTGAGTCGAGAGCGAGTGAGAGTAGGCAGGGGTACATTCAGTCAGTGTAGGCTCAGGGAAAAACAACCAAAAATCCTAACGACACCCTCATTTTTACAGCCTTTGCAAATTCTGCGCTCCTGTGTATTTTTTTCCCCTGGCAAAGTTATATATCATTTATTATTTTCCCCCCTTTTCAATGTTATGAACACAGAATGAATAGCAAAGAAGACAACGGCAGCAAGTGTTCGCCGGCCCCTATCTCTAGCTTCACTATCCAGTCCATTCTGGGTACCACATCCGAAGGTGGGCGCTCAGGTACCAAGGAGAATTCCAAAGGAGGACTGCAGAGGAAGCGAACGTTGTCTGTCTCGTCCGAAGAAGACTGCAGCGCTGGGGAAGACTCCGCTGACTGTTTCTGCTCAGAGCCCGGACACAGCGAGACCTGCAACCACCAACACCAGCCTCTCAACTTTACCTGCCTCAGTAAGTGTGGTAAAAGAGAATCTGTGAGCAGCAGCCTTATTTTCAAGGTTTCTGTGGTTGATGTGGAACGTGGTTAGTCTTTATCACATGTACAGTGATGCGAATTGTGGTTTCACTTATTTTTGCCTTTGTCAGATATTGAATGAAATCTCCGAGTGCAACTATTTCAACATTACATTTCCCCCCTCGACGTATATGTAAAAGTGTCCTATAATTGATTAAACAAGGCTTTTTAAACTAATGCGATACATTTGTCTCAATTGCCAGCAAACGGTAACCTGATTTAATTAGTATCATGTACCTGGATTAGTCATATTTTATTGTTTATTTAATGGGGCACTTGTAACCTTTCAACAGTCGATCAAACAGTCAAAGTTCAAACTTAATGAACTCTTGTACAAAGTATCGAATAATGTGTTACATTTTTAAATAGATCATTTTACTGAAGCACACGGACACACTAAATTAGTTTAAAAGATGAATAAAGAGAAAGCGGGGGAGGCGAAACAACATGCTACACAATTGTGTCATTGCATTCTGCTGCAAAACTAATAATTCATTTTTATTAAAATGAATATTGAATATTGCTCAACTTCAACGTATCAAACATACAGTACCAAATAAATACGAAGTGTACTAACGTCTTTAAATGTGCGCTTCAAATACCCATATGAACCATAAAATTATTTACGGATGTCAAATGAAAAGCGATGCAAATATTTAGAATTAGACAAATATACGATTACGTACGTATATTACTATGGTTAATCTCTTATTTTCTTGTCATTTGATTAGTATTACTATATACTACGTACTTTAGACGTTACCATTGTTGCTAAAGGAACAGATTGAGGCACCTGTCACGTACTTGTTTTTTTTTTCCCTTGCAGATGCCGCTAAAGGGATTACACCGGGACAAGAAGCGATAGAAAGGCGTCAGATTTTAACACAACCTCTGCTGCAGGATTACAAAGAGGATAAAGAGACACCATGTAGCCAAATATCACCCATTTCGGAGGAGAGACAAAGAGACGGAGCCGACAAGCAGAGTAGTTCTGCCAAAAAGAAGACCCGCACCGTTTTCTCTCGGAGTCAGGTGTACCAGCTCGAGTCCACCTTCGACATGAAACGCTACCTGAGCAGCTCCGAGCGGGCGTGCTTAGCATCAAGCCTGCAGCTGACAGAAACTCAGGTTAAGACATGGTTTCAAAACCGCAGGAACAAGTGGAAAAGGCAACTGTCGGCTGAACTAGAAGCGGCCAATATGGCACACGCTTCAGCACAAACTTTAGTTGGGATGCCGCTGGTTTTTAGGGACAATTCCTTGCTTAGGGTTCCAGTTCCAAGGTCGATTGCGTTCCCTACTCCACTATACTATCCCGGAAGCAATCTACCAGCTTTACCTTTGTACAATCTTTACAATAAGATTGAATACTAACTCCATGTTCATCCCAAAACAACAGAAACAAAAATCATACATAAATGTTTGGCATAAATGTATATTTATATAATCTTATTTGTTGAAAATATATATTTCTTATTATGCAACAACTGTATGTGTAAATAAGAAGGCACTGTGCTTCTCCAAAGGGTATTAAATACACCATGTGTATATTACTTATTTTGTACTTTTTTATTTACTGTTCTCTCCCTTGTTCAACCGGTTTTAAACGTTTTATGGCGAAAAATCTGGTCATAGTTGAAGGTATATTATCAAGTGAATTACTAATATTTTAAGTTTTAGTTGTATTTTTTTGTCAATTTTCAGAAATGCACGGAAATCGCCAGATAATTGTTGAAAAAATAAATAAATCAGTTTCCAAAATGATTTGTTTCGTGTAGCTTATCCTATGCGTCATCCACAGCAGGTCATTGATACAAGTGTGAGGTATGGGCGTGCATGTATTCATTAAAGGGGAAAATACGTGGATTTGCAATTTTCTGAATGCTGTATATTAAGTACATGAAAGAGAACCTCTGATATTAAAGTGTAACCATGTAGATTTTAAAGACACCAAAGTAATTTTGTACAATATCAGTAACACTTTCCTTATTATCTTCTTTCACTTGGGGACAAACGTGTCAGTGTTTGTTTCTGTATTGCCTGAGGCAACCTTGTAGTACATCTCAAACTGATAATGAGTTACGAGTGGCACGTATGGTAGAATTCAACTCTAAACGCTTACAACTACGTAGGCCTTTTAAGAAACAGGGTAGATTCAAGGTCATACTTACATTAATGGTAAACGATAAAGTCCATATATATAACATATTTAAAAAGTTTCAATATACAGAAGTTTAACTTTATTATTTTTTATTATATGATGAACACCTAGAATTTATATGTATCATTAAGATGTGGGACACAGCAAACAGGTCGATTTATTGTTGTATACCATCAAAACCCATCGTATTTTTTAAGGTTCTTCCTTTAGTGTGTTGGTAGCTAAAGCATATCTTGTTATCGCTTATGATTTAAACGTAAATGTATTGCCCTTCTATGATAAGGCATGTGTTTATTTCACAAAGGCTTAACATGTCGAGCTGAAACTAGCGCCTAGAAGTCAGTTTCAGCTCGCATAGCTTCGCATAGCTTTTTACTATGCGAAGCATAGTAAAAATACGTAGAACGCAACGACCTGCTGGCTGAACCCCCCCCCGCTCACATCAGAAAGACCACACATATTAAGTAAATGTAAAGTTTAGAAGATGCTAACATCTATTAGTCGTTACCGCAGATCAATTTCTGCTTATAGTTTCGAAAACGAAATTAAGTGTTGCCTTTAAGTATATAATGAATATGTCATATATCACATTACACCTACACAGTACCAGCAATCGTGAGTTGACAAAAAGGTCTTATGTTAAAAACACTTGTAGGCGCATAATCCCTGTTAGAAGCAAAGGGGATTCAAGCGCTACAAGTCTCTTAATATAAAGCCTATAATCAAGTATAACTTATATTATTTTACGCTTCTCCTTTTCAAATGGCTATACAATGTTACACAAGTTTTCTTAAAATATGAATAAGCACGTTCCTGAACTCTAAACCAACAAAGAGGTGCAGTTGATGTTTGTGAACAGTCAATGTTACAAAATAATACCATTTATGTCATTTTAAAAAATTTTAAAAATCGAAAAAAAATCGGCAATCGTTAACCGACACTCTTCGAAAAGTGATAATATGAAACAATTTCAACAATTTCAACCAGCCATAATGAGCAAAATCAAACAACGAAATTGTAAACAATTGTATATTAAGACTTCAGGTATTTGAAATGTCTAGAATTCCAGACTAATTCTCAGTTCATTGACGCATGAAGACATAACAATCACAGATGGCACACTGCCAAGATCAAACATATTTGTGAATTTGATCCTATATTAGCATGTGAAAGCTACATATTGAATTATTTTTGTCATTTAATAGTTGCAATGGACCGTCTTGATTTTTATTCCAATAATAGCAACTTGTTTGTTTGCAGGTTAATTGTACATCATGAAAAAACAACAGTAGAATTAGTAATAATAAACTGAAAGTCTAGCAATCATACTATAGATTAGTATAGTAGTTCTCCATTAGTAGTTATGAATTTAGAATTTAAGACGACTGATCGCTTTTACATCTTTGGATATAAAAACAGATAACAACAATAAAAACAATGATAACAGCGGTTTGAAGAAGACATCTAAGGCTGTCTATGTGTACATGGACTGCATTTAAGAAAACGGTCTATTATTTCGCGGACTTCTGATAAGCGTTTAATTGCTTTTTGTTTTAAAAAAAATCCGGATGAGTATTCCCTTATCACATGACCTGAATGACAACGGAAGTCAGTAAAAGGAAAAGGAAACTGTTAATACAAGAGCCAATGGGAAGGAAGGCGGGAATTGTGGTGTTTAAATTAGCCAATAGAAGCTGGCCTTCTCCACGCATTGAAGTGGGGGTAGAAGTCACAGTGATTGAAGCGGAAAGGGTACTACATTGAAGACGGATTGTGATAGTTAAATTTAAGTCGATTTGTTGTTCTTCGCGATTTTTTAAATCTTTTTTGTATTACTGATAAAGGTGAGTGACGGAAATATAAAGACTTTTAACATTTATTGAATCTCTTAATGAGTAGAATGGCCGGATGAATTGGGAATTGCTGTTATACGAGGCGTATTTTGGGCCTAGTCTGTCTTTTTGTTTCGGACGTTGTTACTATTTCAGCTTGTCCAGTTCTAACACTATATTTTCAAACGCACGTAAAATATATATCCCCGAGATGTCTTAATAACATTCACGAACCTATTATTAAACGGATCGTGTAGAGAAGGAGAAATATGTTTTGCAACTACTGTGTAACGAGTTACAATGCGACAGTACGTCAACAAAGATCTAGGGTTTATTTGAGATAACATTTCGTATTAGCAGAGGCGTCGTGATTCGTACACGCAGATTAGTTGTATTACCAATGTAATTGACGTTTTAGGTTAAATTTTAAGGCCAAGCTAAAAAGTGACGCACTTTGTGGGGTGTCACGTGTTATTTTCCAAACGTTTAACAAAGTACTTTAACGTTTCGTGGAGCATTTGACATCATCAAGACTTACCGTGGAAATTATAAAGCAAAAATAAGCTAATATATTTCAGACATTTGCCTTTGAATTAAAAATACGGGGTTAAGTGCGTATTTGTTTTGTAATTCATCCAAGGGCGTTAAGTTCAATATAATTACGTATAAAGGCTATGCACCGTGATGAGTGGTAGAAAAGAAGTTCTAACATTTAACTTTGTACAGTCAGTTAAGGAGTAAGTAGGTGAAATAAATACAGCAAAGCAGGGTGGATTCTAGAGTCAGCAGGTAAGTCTTGTGAAGGTGTGTAAGATGTTCCGGTCCTGTTGTGCTGTGGAAGCTGGTTTCATCACAAGCAGTGTGAGGAAAGACAACGAAGGGTTTTCACATTGAGATAGAGTGAAGACAAGTGCGGCAGAATACGAGAAGGGTTATTAAAACAGACAAGGGGGTGAGTTAGAGGCTAAGCAGAAGGATTTTCTGAGTGATCAGAGGTAGCCACTGAAGAAGAGGAGGTATGTGGGTGTGTAGCAGAGGGAGGACATGTTTAATGAGCTGCAGGGTTTTGGATACGTTTGAGCATACTAAGTGAGTTGAAGAGCTTGGGTCATGAACTTGAGTGCACGTGGACTACCTTTCTGTACAAAGGGTGGATCCTGCAGGGAACCTGTCCGAAAGCAGATGCACCAAGGGTCACCCCAGGTTTCAGCACAACACAGGGGGGAATGAGGAGGAGTCGAGAAAAATCTGTGTAGGCAGAGGGGAAAAGACTTTCCTTTCCCGCAGTGATCAAAATGTAAACACTTGCCATTATGTAAGGATTAATGCATGCCACTTTTTATTTACACCTCTCACGCTTGAAGAAGGCTCCACGGTTGAAACGTTGTTTTCTTTCTTCTCTTTTCTAGTGATTCCTGTGTTTAGCTTTGAGCAAACCTTATTTGCCTCAACTAAGCTGCACCAAAGCATGCTCTGCTTTGCATCTTTATTTAAAAAACACAGCGCATAGTCATTTAGTTTGCAGTCAAGTATATGTGAATACTTAATATGTTGTTTAAACTAACATGCATTGTGAAGCAATTGGGTGCTGTACTTAGGGCTGGCAGCAGTACCCGAGGGATGGAGTTGGGAAGCACTCAAACTATAGTGTATTTTTGCTGTGGTTTTATGTCCGTGTCTTCTGCACCCCTCCACAGGTCTCCCAAATGACGGGTTCTAATGAATTCAAGCTGAGCCAGGGCCCTGAGGACAGTACGTCAGCCGTGAAGTTCAGCCCCAGCACCTCCCAGTTCCTGTTGGTTTCCTCATGGGACACCACAGTCCGCCTGTACGATGTTGGCGCCAACTCCATGAGAATGAAGTACCAGCACTTGGCACCTGTGCTCGACTGTGCCTTTTATGTAAGTGATGTGTCAGGAGTGTATCTATAGCACTTTGGCATTCAGCGCATCCACTTTTTTCCATGTCTGGTTTATTAATGTAGATTTGCACTGCCTTGTTAAGTTTAAGTAATGGACAACAGAAACAGTAGTTTATAGCAAATTTTACTAAATATCTTTTTTATTTTCTAGCACCATTGTAAAAATGTAGACCTCTGTACTTTAAAACTGCTTTTTGAAATAAATATTAACTGAAAAGCTAAGTAGTATCTTTCAGTTTTATTTTGAAATTTGCATTAGTTCAGTATTTTGGCAGTGGCGGGCAGCTGTAATGATAGCTTCTGTTTACATTGTCTTATAGGACCCTACGCATGCTTGGAGTGGTGGCCTAGACATGCAGTTGAAAACGCACGATTTAAATACAGATCAAGGTAGGCCTCGAACTGCAAGTAGTCATGGGACCACTCGGTCTTCACCATATGGAAACAGCTTTCTGACTCTGGGGCAGGTTAATCATGTTGTACTGTAGACTGGAGCTGTGATATTCAGTTCTGCTCAGCAGAGTTCCATTATAATTTCATCTTTTAGGTGTATTTAAAAGTGTATAAGCCATTATACTAAATGACCTAGCCCAGTTCTCCTTCCTAGTTTAATACTGTGGAACAGTCTGAATCCAGTCTTTGACAGTGCGGCCCCTGATCTCTTTCCTTACAGAGACAATAGTGGGAACCCACGACGCTCCGATCCGATGTGTGGAATACTGTCCAGAGGTTAATGTCATGGTAACGGGCAGCTGGGATCGGTCTGTCCGGCTCTGGGATCCCCGTACCCCCTGCAATGCTGGCACCTTTTCTCAACCTGAAAAGGTAAATGTGCCGAGACAGTCATATTCCAGAATACTTGTTGCTGGTATCTTTATTTTACTTGGTGTGTGAAGCATTTGCTTTGTTATATAAATTATAGTTCTTTTAATGTTGCAGCAATAACTCCTAACGTCTTCCTATACCCACAATGACTGTACTCCAACACCACCACATACACGACAACTGAATGTAAGCCAAAATTGTACTTAAAACTGTACTAGTTGTAATATTTATTAATCACCGTACTATTTTTGCTCTGTTCCCCAAATTACTTTGCACTGTTTTTGTCCTGTTGTGTTCTTTTCTCTGTTTCCTATTTGCATAGTTTTGATTACGCTATGTTATTACACTGTTATTGTGTTACTGTCTATTGTCTTATCTTCTGTTCTATTTATATACTGCACCTGAGTGACTAATGAGAAACACTTTTCACTATACTATGTACCTGTGTAAGTATAATGACAAAGTTGAATGAATTAATTGAGATTCTATGAGTCTCAACCATTTAAGGTCTTGCTTAGAGTACAGTGGAGTCCTATAGTCCCCATGTTCACGGATTCAAGCTTTGGTTGTGCCTTTAATTTTAGTGTATGGATTTCCCAAGGAATGGTGCAATATTGGCTGAATGTGTGGGGTTGAGATGGCAAAGTTACTTGCATTTCTGCAGAATAATGATCACTGGGACTTGCTTGACACCTATGGGTTTTTTGCATGTCGTGCCTATGATCGATGACTGCTGCAAGACATTGTGGAGCTTTAAGAGTTAAATGGTGAGTCAGTAGTGACAGGGAAGAGGATTTACAGTGTCCTTGTAGAGGGGTTATATTGCCATGCTGAGTTGATCAAAAATTGGGAATTCCAGTTTGGAAAGATATTAATTTCAAACGTAGTAAAAAAAAAGTGTAATAGCTGAAAGTGAATTAATTTTGTTGTTGATGGGGGAGTTTATATTGAGTTATGCTGACACTTTAATGGGGCTGAGGTTTTAAGCCCAGTTCACAGCAGTGATTCCTAATTATTCTTCTGGTAGCATCAGAAATCTTCCAAATAGACATCTTACGTAATCAGTTTTATTTTATTCAGATGGTGTTTTTGCAGAGGTGTTTGTTTACTGTATATGTAAAGTGGGCCATTGTAAGTGCCTTAAATCAAGTGGTTCTTAATTGCAAAGAAAATGTTGACTTCAGATTTTTTAAAAGTATGCATTGTTTGTCACAAACAATTCAACTACCAGAGCCAATATCAGCATACCATTAAAATATTTTAATATTCCAGATTTCAGCGTACTTGCTCAAGCCTTCTTCATAAATACATCAGAAGTTAAATCCAGGTTTAACAGCTTTGTAATATGTTACAAATACTGATGTTTCATGACATTTCCTTTAATATTATGCCTGCTGCTATTTCTTTACAATTCTCCTGTCCACACTGTATGGCATGGACACTGTTGTTCCTGAAATTTCTTCTGTTATTAGTTTCTCCAGAAGTGACTCTCACCGATGGGAACTCTATCAGTTGTTGGCTGCTCCTTTCAGGGCTGCCTGCTGGGGTGTGCTGTGCAGTGTTGGTGTTTGTGGACATACATTAATCAAGAAAATCAAAATATTTTTAAAGTAGAATAAGTCTTCATAAGTAGAATACTGTTTGCAGTAGTCTCTGTCTTGTAATGCATAGTGTCAAAAGGAATAGAATTATTTGAAAAATCGTAACCTTATCATCTATAAGCTTCTTGTGTAAATTTCGCAACATTGTGTTCTGGAGTAAACTCGGAGCAGAGGCACGTCTGTGCATCTTGATTCCAGAAGATCAATACTATAAATTGATACATTTTTGTCATCAGTAGTAGGAGTGGAACGATGACAACTTGCCAAATTAAAGACATTTGATTAATGCATGCAGTCTACAACTTCCAACTCCAAACAACCGCATGAGATCAAATACACCTCGATAGAGAAACATCTTTTTTCATTCTACATCATGCAAATTGGTCTTTATAAGGTGGAGGAGAAATGTCAAGTGTGCCTTTTTCAAAGGGTTTGCTGCGCAAGAGTATCTTGGGTTACCATTTTATCAGAGGGAGTTTGGTGTAGGGCCTAGCTGCTTCCACATAGGTGTTTGGTACCTCACGTGTGATGTACTGACATGACCTTTCCATGCTAGTAGAATTTCAGATGTGAATTGACTAGTGCTATTAAAACAAGGTGCTTTGATCATCCTCTGGATTTCCATATTTCTAAAAACTTTCCTAATACTCCTCTTATCTGATAGACTATCTGTATTTTAGGTCTTGCATATACTTCTGGAATTCTGGTATTTGTGCTTGTGTAGGACTGTAGATTTATGTGGCAAGCACATGCTTCTGCCAGCTATTGCCTGAAAAATGTTACTAGTTGCTACTATTGATTTAAACCAGTGCACTGGATTCACACAAGCTTGGGAGAGTTTCAAATTTAAAATAAAGCTTTGTGAATATTAAATAGATCTTAATTATACACTTGATCTTGTTTACAGAGCATCTTAATTTTTTCCAGTGCTAGAAATAGTTCCCTGCCCCCAGACGCTTTAAAACCATTGTCTTGTATAGGAAAATACTTACGGATATTGCATGCAGTCTGACTTTTAATGTGCTTTGGGAGGTTGGGGACTTCCTGGTATAGGAAAAAATACAGATACTCTTAAAAGGGCTTCTGTCTGTACATATACTAGGGTTTTGTCCAAGAATGACGTTCTTCATTCTCTGGATCCTGTACTATAAGCAGATCCAGAGATCTGGTTATTTCAACCACAGTGTGAAACTGCTCATGTGACCCATTTATGGTGCTAGTGCAAAAGCAGCTGTTACAGGACTTAGATCAATTTGCACTTTAGTTCTTTACAAAGGGAATCCAGTTATACTCAACTTTATTGCTGAGCATATTTGGTGTTCCACCATGAAAGAAATGTGTAGATGTGTAAATTCAGTAACCTTTTGTAAATGGCGATTTCTACACTCATGAACAACTTTCAGAGCAGTGCATATCTCATTATTCGGCCACTTTCTTGCAATTGTAATGGCCTCATCAGTACACTCGAAGATGTTTGTGTTGAAATATGAGGGTGTGGGTGCTATATTGCGTTGTTTCTGATTGTGCCACCAGCAGGTTCAAACTGGCACTTGGTTAAATTTGTCAGGTGCCAATATGCTGTTCTGTAAAGATGTGATCTTGTCCTGTGTAGCATTCAGTTCTTTTGTTAGCCAATAGCAGGCAATGATAATTTAATCAGCCTGCCTCTGTATAATTATAATTGTCCTGCTAATTGATGCATTTTTCAATCCTTCCTCCCTAAAAAATATCATGCAAGCTTTGTTTTTGATATTGGGAAGTATTTGGTTCTCGGGATGAACAGTGCCTTAGACAATTATTCTTGTCTTAAATGATAATACCAGTAACCGTTTTTTTAATGAGGTATAAGCCAAGAAATTCAATCTAGGGGTGATATAGACATGCTTAAATGCACTAAAGTTTACTGGAAAAAATGCACTTGCTGGGGAAAAAATACGGCAAAAATACCTAAACTAACATGAATGTAAAATTGGTGTTATACTGTAGTGTATTGCAGGTGCATTTTCAGGCTTACATATGCGCCATCAACTGTCCATAAATCAAAATAGGTTTGTATCCAGACAGTGCTAGGACAGTCTTCACAAGCCATTTTTCCATTGAGAGATTTTTGGGGTCAAATAAAGTCTGTTGGATTGCTTTGTACATTTTAAATATCCTTCTTTACTAAACAGACAATTTGTTTTCTATTCCTATTTAGTTATGTGTTTAACATGGATTTAAAATGTCTACTTTCAGGTTAATTGATAAATTGAAAGGTTGCTCTTTCATTTTGGTGCTTTTAAAAAAGACAAAACTGAGTGATAGAATGATGTCGCTCCTATGAATGGTCACTTGTATATTTGCATCATCCTTTGCAAATAAATTCCAGCAAAAGGCTAAAGAAAATGTCCTTTCTTTCATGGAAAACAATAGGAGCAGAGTAATTTAACATGACTACGAGGATGTATTTCAGTTTCACCATTGCTGACAATAGGGGCATTATTACCTTGAACATGCAAATAAGAACATCAGGTTCCGTACACTTAACAGTCCTGTTTTTCTGAGCAAAGTGAAACCAGTAAGCCTCACTTTTTGGAAATGTTACTTTGTGTCTTTCCTTGGCATCCATGAATCTCTAAAACTGAGATGGCCAAGCTCAGTCCTGGGGAGCTTTTCTTCAGCAGCTTCAGTGGGTAACCCTTAAAACAATACCAAAGTACTTGGTACAATTGTGATGTGACTGCTTTAATTGTTCAATTAAGCATTTTAGAGGCACTTTGAAATGAAAGTTCCACTATGCAATTCCAGTCTTGTCCCTTAATGCCCCGATAGATCCAGTTAAATCAATCGAGCCTCACATATTCTAACTATAGAAATTGTCAGGGTGATTTTGCAAGATCTGCTGTATTGCGGTTCTTCAGGACCGGGGTTGGCCCTCCTTTGTTCTTAAGCATGCCTTATAAATAAGAAAATAAGTGGTGGCAGCTGTATGATTTCTTAGGTCTTTATCTACTGGAGGGTAGGCTCTTTGCCCTAAGTGTTAATGGCAACATTACACTGCTGAAAGTGTGTAATATGGCACAGATTATTCTTGACCCAATTTCAGTGAAATCTGTGTGTTCAGGATAAATGGATTGCATTAGATAACGGCTGTGATTTATGGCAGACTTTGGCATGAGCGAGGTAAAGGGATGAATTTGTGACAGATTGTAGAGCAAGCGACAGCCCCTGTGAATGAAGCTGTTTATTAGTTCCGCAGGGTTCATTATGTCATCAGTTTTTGTAATACTTCACTGGATGGATGTTTGCACACCATCGACTTGCAAGAATCTGCATGACCTGTCAGCTTTGGTGCTTGATTTACAATGTGAGAAGGGCAGAAGAGACCATTTAGCATGAAAGCTCCGGCTGACAACCAATATTTATAAAGAATTGCTTGTGTTATGTATTGCCTAAATGGTGGGTATGAATTACAATTTTTAATAGCAGGGCAATCGAAATGATTTGGAGTAGTTAAGCTGAAAAAGACAGCACCTGGCATTGCAGTGAAGATTTGTTGAGATGTGCTGTGCTTCAGGATTCAGCAAGCCAATGTGAAAAGCAAGCACAGCATGCTTTGTGGGATGGTTTATGACTGGAATATCAGCAACAGAATATAAAGAAAATTGAATATGCAGCCTTGAATGTATTTTGACTATTAAAATGTTTAAAAGCTAAATATTTCACGATCATAGGAGCTGTCCTCTGAAATGGAACTTTTTTTGTATGGATGTAGAACTTGGTAGCCATCATTTGGAAATTATATATCTAATATAGTTTTAAAACCTTGGCATTAATAATGCATACCTATTGAGTTATCTAGCCATCTTCAAAATTCTAAGCGCAACATTTCTTCCTTTCTCCAGGTCTACACGTTGTCTGTGGCAGGAGATCGGTTGATTGTGGGAACAGCCGGGCGGAGAGTCCTTGTGTGGGACCTTAGGAACATGGGTTATGTGCAGCAGAGGAGGGAGTCGAGTCTGAAATACCAAACCCGCTGTATCCGGGCTTTCCCCAACAAGCAGGTGAAGACTGAGACTTTGTGTCTTTAATGCTATGTCAGGTTTCTGACTTCTGTGTAATTCAGACATTTCAGATAACAAAAACTGCTATAACATAAAGATGTTTTTTTTTTTTAATTCATTCCTGAAAACAATGAACATTTATTCTTTGGTATCTTAAAATATCCATTTAACTTAATCTCTAAGGTCAAGTGTTTTGGAAGCCTTGCAATAGGTCCAGTCTTCTCTATGCATGTCTCTTAAAGCCCAGTTTTTCAGTTTTTCTGGATTTAGGGATTTTGCCATTTTCTGAGAGAGCAGTGGTGACATGGTGATACTTCTGTTTTAGGGCTACGTGCTGAGCTCGATTGAAGGTCGGGTTGCAGTGGAGTACCTGGACCCCAGCCCAGAGGTGCAGAAGAAGAAATATGCTTTTAAATGCCACAGATTAAAGGAAAATGGCATTGAGCAGGTTTACCCGGTCAATGCTATCTCGTTCCACAGTGTGCACAACACTTTTGCCACAGGTATGTACACTGCTTGGGGATGAACTTGTGCCTAACTTCAAATGAAGGTAGAATTCATATAGGGTTAAAGAAGTAGGTTAATTAAGCTTTTGGCTCCAATCTTTTAAAGCATTCTAAGGTTTTATTGCATTTTGTCTAGTTTTTATTCTTAGCTTTTTGTTCTATATTAGATAATCCTGACTTGCCATACATTACAAAATGTCATCTGATTTTCAGTGCTTAATATTGAGCCGAAACTTGAAACTGTCGTGGTACGGAATGCACATTAGTGCCTGAACACGGAATCAGTTGCAGTTAGACGTCTTGATATTTGCAGTTTTTGGCATTGTGAATCCAGTCCTTCAACTACCAGCGCATTGAACAATCCCTTAACACTGGCCGGTGACTTGTGAAAGATTTAAAAAAAATGTAGTGTCCCCCTTTTTTACAAAAGATAGAATGTGCACATTTTAAGTTCTCTTACATTTAAGTAAAGTAAAAGTTGAACTGCTGTTTTTCAGGGGGCTCTGATGGGTTTGTGAATATCTGGGATCCCTTTAATAAGAAGCGTTTGTGCCAGTTTCACCGCTACCCTACCAGCATCTCCTCTCTGGCATTCAGTAATGATGGCACCACTCTGGCCATTGCCTCTTCCTACATGCACGAGCAGGGCGACATCGAGCACCCTGAAGATGCCGTCTATATCCGCCAGGTCACAGACGCCGAGACAAAGCCCAAGTGAGTTTCTTTTGCCAAGGCGATTTCTTTTAATCCCTTTGCCAGCTATCTGTTTATTAATTTTTCTAATTCCATGAATAGAATTATTGATATGGGTAAAGTGCAGCTGCCACTGCAGTCAGTACCGATTTTTATCTTGCGCTCTCCTGAGGTTCAATATCCGCTGGTTGATAGACGTCTGACAGATAAAATATGCCTACTTTTGATTTTTTTTCTCTTGTTTTGTTCTGTGCAGAATGTCAAATTCTCATTCTGTCTCCCAGACGTCATGGGAACATGGTCTATTTAACTCTGTTGTCTAATGAGTTCTTATTGTCACTCTGTCTTCGAGCAAATTATAACTCATTGTAAATCAAATGAAAAGCCAAAGAGGAGTTGTTGACAAATTTAAAATCAACTTAAAATACAGCATGGTCGCATATTTCATACAAGAAATTGTCCTTTTCTATAATATTTTCTCTCATGGGTTTTTAAAGATATTGAAATCTACAAGATCCCTATACATGTGTGGATTGTATTGCTTAACATTTGGGATATCCCTGTAAGAGAGTGTTTAACAGTACTATATTTTGTACTGTTTTTTCCAGATAAAGCCCAACAGAGTTCTTAAGGCTTAGGTAGCTGAACCAATCGAAGATGTAGACAGTAACTTTTGTAAAGGTTAGGTTTCTTAATGATGGACCTCAAGGAACTGAAAGGTATTACAGATGAGCACTGGGGCAAGTGAGTTGCTAACACCCCACCTTAACCTGATTTCTAATGAATGGAGAACGTAGCCATTGATGAGGTTCAGTTGAGATTTGGGGAAATGAACCATTTTGCATAATTGTATAAATATATATATTTTTAATTCTTTAGGCAGTTTTTGTTGCTCTTTATTGCAGTGCATTTTATTAGGGACCAAACATTCTTCTTTTTAACATCAGTTTGAAGAGAAGGCTCACCAGTGTTAGTATAGTTGTATGTATATGTACATAAAGCAAACTAAATATTTACATTAAAATTGTCATAGTTAAGGGACTAGTGGATGAGGTTTGGAGGCCAGTTCTTGAACTTTAATAAGCCACACATTGTAAATAGTTTTTTTTGTTTTTTTTTACAGAAGATTAAAAGCTACATGCCCTTAGTATCTGATTAGTGGGGGGCGGGGGGGATATTGCTTATGCTCAAGCAGTGGTCAGGCTAAAGTATTTTACATAATTATAGTCCAGGACGTCTTTTGTGGACATTTCCATTTCTCCTGTTCAATTCACAAGGAGGGTATGGATTGCCTGTTATGCATAAGTATTCAACAGATTGGTTTCTAGAAGATGGCCTCAGAAGTGGTTTCAGCTTCTGAAGTAAGACTGATTTATCAGAAAATATAAAGCTTTAGTAGTCAGCCTTGACGTGATTTCATAACTTCAGCAATTCTCTATTAGTAAGGGTTCCCAGAGGTGGGTGGCAGGGATGAGTATGTAATATGCTGACAAAATGCAGAGCTATGAATCTGCTTTTGAAAATTTTAAAGCAATTGCAATGCATTAAGACAGGCAACTCTCAGGACCTGTTTCTGTCTTTAACTGAATTTGAGAAAACTGTAACTAGGTTTTGATGCAGCCTTGTCATTTGTAACCTATACAGTCTTTCATTTATTGACTATAATGGTCAAAAGCTGGTTTGAGCTAAACAGATTTTTTGTGATTCTGCTTTATGTCACCAGAAAATGGGGACTGCATACATATAAATAGCACTCTGTTGGGCGCCTCAGAGGGGCGGTTTTCAGCCATTTCGTCATTGCTGTAACCATTTATCTTTATTGGAACCTAAAAAGATGCTCTTAAAAATGCATACATTTACAAAGCTCATTTTTATTGTTGTTAATCTGAATAGGCTTTTAATGGGATAAAGAGATTTCTCTTGGATAATCCTTTTAGAAAATGTTTATCAAACAGGTAATGATACTACAGAAGTTCTCAAACTGGGGATGTGGGAAGCTCAAGGAAAAGTCTTTGTTCTGCATAGTAGTACAGCTATTCCATGGCTATCAGTATCTTGAAAGCAGCTCTTACTGCTGCTGGATTCTAGATGGTCCTATGCATTTGAAAGTGTTTGCATGCTGTTGATGAAGATTGGCATTATGAGCTTTAACCGTTTGTTCTTTGCTATGAGACTCTGAATCCATCCTAGGTTTTGTTTACACTAAAGAAGTTTTATCCTGTTGAAAATTATTTTAATCTTGTTTTAGTTTATTAGACGTTCTTGAGATTTCTCTAAATTTTAAAATTTCCTTAGTTTTTCCTAGATTGTTTTTTAGACAGTTTGCTTGAAAAACAGAATCAACTATGCAAAATATTAATGATAAATACAAAGTCAAGGGAAAGCCTAAGTAAAAAAAAAACTCCTTTGTAGAAAAAATATTACTCATCAAATGTCTCAGTAAAGTGCTTCAGTTCTAACTCCATTTGGGTTTCCTGATTTCTTGATGGTACTCATGTCCTTGCTTTTGCCATTTATTGTAGAACGTTATCTTGAGAGTGAAGAATCCTTTGTATACCAATCATATACACAACTACCCTTATCTCATTTGGAACAGTTACCTGATGAAAGCTAATCACTGTACATAAGGTGACTGCTCTACATCTTTTAGTCAGTGAGTCGGGTGCTTTAGATTGGCTTGATTTTAATAAGGAATGCTGACCGCAAAAAGAAAAGTGTGCCTGAAAGAAAGAACAGCTATTTTTTTAGCTTTATTCCAGGAAGAAAAATATAGGTCATGTATGGTGCCTGCAAAATCAGTAAATTCTCCTAAAGCAACTGGGTCTTTAGGAGCAGCGGGATCACTCAATTCCTGTAGCTATTTTAAGGTAGTTGCTACACCTAATTATGGTAAAAAAATTTATCCCGCATTAAGACTTTCATTACTTTTGATTATGATCTCTTACTTGCTGTTTAAGTATTTACTTTTCGTATCAAATTGAGTGGTAGTTTAGATATATCTTCACTTTAAATGTATTGATTGTTCTCCTTATGTTTGCTGAAAATATAGCTCTAAATATACACTGAAAGACCTTAAGACTTACACTTTTGGACTCTATCAAGATGGTTTTCTTGGCACATCACAAAACTGGCATGTGGAAAAAATGTTTCATGGGTTGATCTGGAAGAACCTTCTTTGTCTTTAGTAGAAAACACTAAATTTAAACAACATGCTCTGAGTTTCTCCTTTGAGTTGTCAATTTAGAACCTTTCATTGAGAATGACGTGTTGGGTTTAAGTATTGAAGCCATTGTAAAAATCAGAGCCCCTCTGTAACCTATGAAAGTGATATTCACCACAGACATGGTGTCGTCCTGATGAAAATGCCATTTCAAATAGAGCTGCAACTTTAATTTACATGAGGAAGAGTATTGCATCATCACTGTTGGGCATATGCATTGAAATCTTATCTATTACATTAAAGAAAAATAAACATTACATTAAAAAAATGTTCGCAATGTAATCACAATCGATATGTTACACAATTGTTAACCAGCTGGGATGAAGGGTGTGGACTCTGGCATAGACTGTCTATGCTTTCCTCCTGGAAGGTGGTCTTCAAAGAGCAGTTCACTTTCTTCACACTGGGAGTGGAAGAGCGCTGTGATAAAACCACAAGTTCACAGCTGCCCTATCAGCCTCATGGGGCCTGTGGTGATCATCCCTTATTAGCTAAACCAAGCTTACCCACTTCTACTGGGTCTCGGTTAATATTACGGTTGCTTCAGGGCCTTGTGATGGTGAAATTGACCAGAACCATTAATGAGCTGAACCTACATCCGTCTGGCTGGCCAGTTGGAATCTCCCGTCATGTTTACCATGTCTACCTGCTTTTTCTAGTCTTCGACTAAATGAGTGCTGTCGGTGTGCACAGTAGTTGAGATATTTCAGACACTTTAATAAATCTTTCTAATTTAAAACACACCTTTCTGCATATGAAACAGGCTCATAGCATGAGTTTTGAGGGGGAAAAACAGGAAGGATCCCATGACTTGTAAAACGATCAGCATTTTGTTTTTGTGGTACCGTGCAGAATCTTTTCTGTTCAAAAGCTGCAATGCTTAGGAAACCATCGGTTTCCTCAGTCTCATTCTAGTGTTTTTCTCCTCCACAGATCAACATAAACACAGCTCGGAGTGGTCTCGTTCATGCGTCACGCTTTTTTTTACCATCCTGAAGCTTGCATCACTTGGAATATCTGCTGGCATCCAGTTGAGAATCTTGAATATATGTCCTGCTTACATTCTGTGCTTCTTTAGAACCATTCTTTGCTATCCCCGTTTTTCAAAAAGTTTTTTGTTGTATAGAAATGACTGTCTGCCAAACCCGACATTTTAATTGTTTTTTTTCTGTTTTGTATTCTCTTTACACCTATTCTGTCTGTGGAATTTATATGTATAGATTTCTACCTATCCGTACAATACAACATTCTGTTTCAGTGCTCTTATTTTGTGGTGCTGAGGGTCAAATTGATAATTTCAAGCCTCAAAAACCAAATTTCTTCGCAAAACCTCTAAGTGTTACGTCCGTATACGTCTTATGTATTATTTGGCTTTTGTATGTTTTACTGAAACGTACTGGCTCTTTAATGCAACTAATTACCCATACACCTTATCTAAAATGTCATGTTGTACTTGGTCAGTATATATGTAACAGTCACAGTTTTACACAAAAGGAAAATAAATGGTTTTACTTTAATTTTATTTGCATTGGTTTGTGTGATCGTGTGTACGAATAAAAGCTTCAAAATACAAGAAGTGTATAATGATTAATGTTCGGGGTCTAAAACTAGATTTTTTCAACTTGGAAAATGTTGGTCAGATTGTCAGAAGTTTAAGATCAAATAATTCAGAAATATGTGAAAGCCATACAAATCCGAAGTGGCTGTTGCGCAGGGAGCAAAAAGGCTAGACCTCGTTGAATGCTGGTGTGCTATTTGAAAATCTATTGCTGTCAGTTGTACTTGCCCTTTGACTTTGTACTGTGATAAAATCTGAAGGACATCTGTGGGATAGACCATCTGATCTGAATCTGCAATCTGGTGTGGGGGGTGGTCGCTGACCAGTCCTGAATTCACATTTCCCAAAGCTCTTCCATGAGGTTGACTTTTGAATGCAGTTTAAAAAGTTTTCTTCAATACTCAAAAATGACCAGATATCCAAGCAAATATGAGTAGCTGGGCAAGCTTTGTGGGTCTCCTTGTGGTCAGGTATGTTGGTTCAATGTGCTCTGATCTGACTTGTTATATTGGGGTGTTGAAAGTTATTTTTTTAAAAGCCTTTATTTCTGTTTTTAATTGGACATGTCTGTATTTGAAACTTGAGGCAAAAAAATCAATGGTTGTATAAATGCAAAAATAGTTTAACGCATTCTGTTGGTGGGGAGGCATGCCACAATGCATTAATAATTTTAAAAAAAAATAAACTGGCTTATCTATCTGGTTAGCATAATATTGAATTTATGATCCCATTGTGTTTTGGATTAATGGCAGTTATGTCTAGGCCCAGTCACTTTGCTGTTCTGTCTCTGACCCGATCTTGGGGAAGGTTCTTTTAGTATGTGAATTGCTGGGTGTCTTCTCCCTGTTCTTGTCAGAATTTAGTCAATTTCACCTGAATCATGCCATTCAGAATTTCTAACTATCCGGTATTCATTTGGAATACCACAATGTTTTTAATGCATGCAAATATCATTTATCAAAATGATTATCAAAGATTATCAAAATCTTTTCTGTCCAAGAAAAGCTCTCCCCCTTTTCCCCAATTACAAAAATCCTAACTGCTATTTTATAATTTAGAAGCCACTCTATTTTTTAATATATGAATGGGTAATTAATATGTATTTTACCCTTTGAATGTCCTACACTTATTTCTCATCTTTTCTTCGAATTATGGGACTAATACTCCAGAGCTTCTCTTCAACAGTTGTTTGCAGTTGTTTGAAGCCCATTTCCCCCTTTCTCCGAGACTCTTTAGAAAAGAACTGGAAAGATAAGGCCTCAAATTATTCCATTTAAGAGGTACAATTTTTGTAATGGGTCTTGCAGCAGTCTGCAGAAGTGCAGGCAGATTCTTCAATATCCTGGGCATTATTTGCTCGTTTAGTTAAATGATGTTTCTAATTCCCTCATAATTACTTGTAATGAGGCACTCTTTCTCATTTTGATGCGACTTTAGCTTAATATAAAATGGCATTCTTTTTAGGGATAATTACCACTCGTACGCTGGAGAGAGAGAGAGGGGCTGGGGTTTGTTTAGAATATGGCAAATTGGTTTGTTTCCTGTCATCTTGACTTCCAGCAAATTAGAAAATTAAGTTTCTCAGCTGAGCATTAGAACCATTTCAGAAGGTTTTTGTTTCTCCTCCCCCTTTACTTGGTGCATTCACATCTTTTGAAATTATCGGGGCAATTATTTTGGAGGAAAGATTCTCTTCAGAAGTGCTCTTATTAGTTGCATTAAGGTGGAATAATAGGAATAGTCTCTGATTGGTTTGCCCTCAAAGGTAATGTTATTTTTTCAAGATTTTGTTCAGTCGTAGTAATAATCTTGATAAAACAAACATCAAATTGTTCAAATGTATATAAGTATATCTTGACATACTTTCATACTTAATAAAGCACAACTGTTTAAAACCTGATGTGCAAAAAAAGTAGTTATTCTCCTTCTGAAACATGCTTCAATAGAACATTGATCTTTCATTAGTTTCTGCTGTTATGAACACGCAGTATGTTCAGATCCCTCAGCTAACAACAAATAGCTTCTTTTCCTTTTTATTGCATTCTGCATTCTTGTAATTCTTCGAGCAAATACATTTTCTGACAAGTTGACTTTGCAGGTTCAGCTAACCACTGGATTTATCCTGCAGTAAACCTGCTGGTACATTGTTCCTTTAAAGACCCAGCAACAGTTAAGTAATGCTGTGGTCCGGTGGTGAGGGTTTAATTTCTAAGTGCTGAGGTGTTGCAGACAGTTTGGCTCTACATGAGGTTGTTACATGACAATTAAAGAGGAGGGATATGTGCTCCAAGAGGCTGTCACGTACATTTACCAAAACCACAAAAAGGTCTTATGTTTACAGAGTGTACAAATGACCTTCAAGCCAATTCACAGTGTTTAAAGATGGTTTGGCGGATATCCTTGAAAAGGCAGTGCACTCAATTCATTGCTAATACTCTAATAAGCTGATGCTGCTGTTCAAGATCATAATCTCTACATAAATAGAGAAATTTAAGCCATGACTTTTCCCCCCCTCTCTAAATGTCTAACCTATAGGAGGTTAAAAAGGAGCTAGTTCACTACTGTCCTTTATTGAGTGATAAAAATATCCAGTCGGTCACTGTAAATATGAATTGAATGTTAGATTTCATAACCAAATTGGTTTCAAACAGATTTAGAAAATATTTTCAGTTATATGGTGTAGACTGAATAATAATTGTTGTAGTTCATAGGCTTTTAGAATTATGTATCCAAAATGCTTTCTGCATCTAGACTGCTCAAAAATAATCCCATTCCTTCAAATGTATAGTGAATTGTGGATTCTCTCTCAATGAACTGTCAGGCTTTTCCTACGGAGGGCCTGTTCAGTGGGAGCTCCCAGACTCTATATCCAAAGGCTGACCAGTGACATGGAAGACCCAAACAAAGAACAAAAGAATAGTTAGGCATATCCCCAAAGTACTGGTTTTATTACCTTATCGTCTTATCAGGAGGTATGTTTAGATCGTAATTTCCTCTGGAGAATAGCCTGGGAGTTAACTCTGGTGACTGTCATGAACTGAAGGTAAGAGTTAATGACAGACAAGGTCAATCCTGCAGAGAGTGGCTGCGGTGTTCCCAGAGGTTAAATACCAAGAGTCAAACAGCCTTTTCAGATGTTGACTAGTTCATCTCCAATTTTAACTATTTTTTTCTTGCAGCCTCCCGTTGTTCTTTCAACAGTTCCCTGGAATTGCTCTAAATCTGTGGTCTATACGTTTATACGTTAAGGAAGCCTTTCTTTCAACATCTTCTAGCAAAACAGTCAGTGCACCCAAATTCCACTGAAACCTGCTTAAAAGCAGCACTACATTTAAAAGGTTTGCATGAAAATGGGAGCTGTGTGCTAGTTTTGGAAAAGGTCCTACTGTTAAGGCCATTCCAATGCCATTTGGCAAGCGTTGAACAGTGACCTGTAAGTTTCTCACTTACAGTGCTGTGAAAAAGTAAGTACACCCCATGAAAAGGTGTGCGTTTTTCAACATATTTGCATGTATAGATATTTGATCTTCATTTCAACAATATTGATAGATAAAGCTGATCTAATTTAACAATGAAATGTGTTCTTTACAATCATTTATTCAACAAAAAAAGTCAGAAATGCAATTGTCTGCTGTGGAAAAAATAAGTACACCCTCTAGCTTCAATAGCTCGGTGTTGCACCCTTTGGCAGAAATCAATTCTTGTAGGTTTTTCATATAATTGTCTATCGGTCTACTACGTCGACATGGAGATATTTTTGCCCACTCCTTCAATTGTGTGATGTTTGAGGGATTTCTTGCATGTACTGCCTGCTTCAAGTCCCCTCACAGCATTTCTATAGGGTGAAGATCTGGGCTTTGACTTGGCCATTCCATAACCCTCCATTTCCCTTTCTTCTTTTTGAGCCATTCTTTTGTGGATTTGCTTGAGTGGTTTTGGTCATTGTCTTGTTGCAAGGTCCACTTATGGTTCAGCTTTTTGATTGATGGCCTCACATTCTCCTCAAGTACTCTCTGGTACAATGTGGAATTCATGGTTTACTCTATGATGGCACACTGGCCCGACCCTGAGCCAGAAAAGCAGCCCCAAACCATAATGCTTCCACCACCATGCTTTACAGTTGGTATGAGGTTCTTTTGGTCAAAGGCAGTTTTTGGTTTTTGCCAAACATGACATCTAGCATTGTGGCCAAACAACTCTACCTTTGTCTTATCCATCCAGAGCACATTGTTCCAATAGTCCTGATCTTCACCTAGGTGTTGTCTGGCAAACTTCAGTCGTGCATCTATATTCTTTTTTGAGAGCAAAGGCTTCTTCCTTCCTGACCTCACATGTAGGGCAAAGTTGTGCAGTCTCTTTCGGATGGTTGACTCATCGACTTTGACATCGACTAAGGCAAGATTTGCCTGGAAACCCCCTGGATGTTATCCTGGGGTTCTTGGAGACTTCCTGCAGCATCTTTCGGTCAGCTCTTGGACTGAATTTGGTGGGACGACCTGGCCTGGATAGATTGTGAGTGGTTTGAAATTTTCTCCATTTGAAGATGATCTTTTGGACAGTGAAATAATTGACTACAAATTGCTGGGAAATGGCTTTAAAACCCTTCCCAGACTCATAGGCATCAACAAGCTTTCTTCTGAGGGCCTCGGAGAGCTCATTTGATCTTGGCACGATGTAGCCACACACCTCAACCAGATCAAACCAGAAGATATGTTTCTTATTTTAATATAAGACAGTGCCCTCCAAGCTACTCTTTAATGATGTTCTAATCATTTGCACCTATTTTGGTGCACCTGATTCTAATTTTAGGCATTTGATGCAATGGTAAACGTAGGGGGGTACTAACTTTTTCCGCACAAAGAAAATGCATTTCTGTTGCTTTAAATAGTACAAATGAGTGCAAAATGTAATTTTTACGTTATTTTTAAAATTAGTTCACCTTTATCAGTATTGTTGAAATGACG